GTGTGTATTGTGTCATAACTTTTTGGTTTTTGAATAATAAAAATCTTCACAATGAAAATAAAATGATAGTAGATTACGATAGAACCATGGAATGGAATAGAATTATAGAATATTAATTTCTAGACTACATGTTAGTGAATATGCAAGCGGTTCGGCAAATGGCAAAGTTTCAAAATATCGATAACGATCCGAAAAATCGTCCAACCATAACTTTTTAAAAACGCAGACGTCTGCCACCTGCCCGCCGTGACTGGGCCATGCAGGGGACGCTTCCACAAATGGTACTTCGACCACAACACCAACCAATGCCAGCAATTCCAGTACGGCGGCTGTCTCGGAAACGACAACCGATTCGAAACGGAAGAGGACTGCATGAGTAGATGCGTTGAACCTGCCACCAGAGGTCAGTTGACGGCCACGATGGTTTTGGTGGTTTTTGTGAGGAAAATGATGATGAAAATAATGATGGTCGCGAACGCCACTTTTATTTTCATCCTTAACATCGCACAAATAATCATTTAATATTTTTTTCACTCTGATTATCCTAAATACCAAAACAATTATTAACAATTCTCAGCATCTTCACCATCCCCAATTATCAGCCAATGACGAACGACACCACAGTTACCCCCCAAATCAATTAACCACACCCCCTGTAGTTTGTTCCCTTGCAGCGGACCAGGGACCCTGCACATCGGTCATACAATCGTGGTTCTTCAACCAAACAACTGACCAGTGCGAAAGATTTTATTACGGTGGCTGTGAGGGCAACCTGAATAGATTCAGTGAGAAGAAAAAATGCGAAGATGCATGTTTGGCTCCTAAAAAGGAAAGCATGAGTTAGTATGTGTGTGTGTTTATGTGTGTGTGTATGTGTGTGGTGTGTGTGCGTGTCTGTGTGTGTGTGTGTGTGTGTGTGGTGTGTGTCTGTTTGTGTGTGTGTGTGGCATGCGTGGGATCTTTTCTTGCTTACGACGGAGCAAAACTAACATGGAAAATCTCTTCCAGATATATGCAGCCTGCCAAAAGATGCCGGCGACTGCAGCAGTTACATGGAGAAGTGGTATCACGATGTCGCCGATGGAGTCTGCAAGAAGTTCATCTACACCGGCTGCCGTGGATCGCTCAACCGATTCGATTCCGAGTTCGAATGTATGACATCCTGTAATGCTAAAGAGCCACCCAGTAAGTAAATATAGTCTATGAAAATAAGAATTCCATTTGAAAATATATTCTAAAAGCTAGTAAATTCAAGACACTAATCTAAAAAAATTTAAATTAAAGAATTTTAAATTTATAATCTACGAAAAACAGGAGATGTTTGCTTACAGCAGTACGATGCTGGCCCATGCCGCGACTTCACAATGAAGTTCTTCTGGAGTAAGGAACATCAGGCCTGCTCTACCTTCTACTATGGTGGTTGTGGAGGAAATGACAACAGGTTGATTAATTAATTCAATTTATTAATTATTCATTCAATTAATTCTTCAATTAATTAATTAATTAATTGATTAATTAATGCATATGGATCCCTGTCTGTAATACAACAATATAGTTATTTAATGCAAAAAAGACAGAGCTCTGCCTCATTGCATTGAATTGTTATTACCATATTAATTACTAAAACGGAGTAAACTCAAATATACATTATATATTAATTAAACTATTTAAAATTTTAAATCAGCAAAATGGATAAAGAGTATTATTATTCCCGGAATTAGGTTCGAGACTGTGGGTGAGTGCGAAGCCGCTTGCTCTCCACACGCTTCTACCACAGAGGCATCACGCCGAACTGACTCTGACCACACAGCCGCTGACGATTACATGATCCCTGGTTCGTTGTTATTATTATTATTCTTACTACTCCTACTACTACCGTCATTATTATTATTTCTTATATTTTATTTTATTTCTCGATTTACTCATTTTACTTGCATCATAGAGACTATTTTCATCTTGGTATATGTAGTAGTAGTAGTAGTAGTAGTAGTAGTAGTAGTAGTAGTAGTAGTAGTAGTAGTAGTAGTTGTAGTAGTAGTTGTTGTTGTTGTTGTTATTCAACGAAAAAAGTTTACATTGTAGTTATTACCGTTGTCGTGTTGTTATATATACCATAAATTGAAACCATTTCATAATTTTTAACAAACAAACAAAAAAAATTAACATCTCAAAAATTTGAATTAATTCAAAGTCTCCTGTAGACAGCCGCCGGAGTATGGAACCTGCCAGCGTAGCTTGTTGCGCTGGCACTTTGACTACGCAACCAGAACCTGCAACCAATTTCAATACTCTTCTTGTGGAGGCAACAACAACAAGTACGTCTCGGAAAATGCCTGCCTGCGTTTCTGTCACCCTGATTATTACCATGTTCGATCAGGATCAAGAGATGTTGGTTAGTAGTTGTGTGTGTGTCTGTGTGTTTTTGTGTGTGTGTGTCTGTGTGTGTGTGTGCATGTGAGTGGTGGTGTGTGTCAATTTTTTTGGGTTTTGTGCAGTGTTTAACTTTTTATTGGATATTCGGGGATTTATTTGGTTTCGCTAGTTGTGGTTTTTAAACTAGTTTGAAGACTTTGTGTTTGTTTTATGTTTAGTTTTGCCCATTGTTCCAACATTGTGCAAGCGCAGAACTAGCTCTACCACTGCACTTTCAATTGCTTGATGTTAAAATTTCCCATACTATGTACCATATTTTACTAGGTAAATTGCCTAAGCCAACACAACGACATATAGTGCTATTGAATATTTATACAGCATCGATTTAAACAAAATATTTTTTTGGCTTTCAGGCAACAAAAACAGCACGCACATTTTCACAACAACAATCAACAACAACGGCCAACAACCAAAAACAACCAACAACTAAAATCAAACAACAACCAACAACTAACAACCAACAACCAAAAACAACCAACAACTAAAATCAACCAACAACTAACAACTAACAACAACCAACAACCAAAAACAACCAACAATTAACAACAACCAACATCAACATCAACAAACAACAAAAACAACTAAAAACAACAACAAACAACAACAACAGATACCACGGAAGCTGGAGGAGATGGGGAGGTTTTACCACCGTCAAAATTAGGTGAAGACAAACTCTATTATAGAAATTTATGAAAAATTTTAAATACTGCTTAATCAATTATTATATTTTTAAACAACTTGAAAAGTTAAAATTAAAACTTACAAAAATACTATTGTTCGCATGACAACTCACGATACAAATTCCCACCAATGCAGACGTCTGCCAGCAGCCACAGGACGTCGGCCCGTGTGATGCTTGGGTACTCAAGTGGTCCTTCGACCACTCGAAACAGATATGCGAGGCATTCTGGTACGGCGGTTGCCAGGGTAACGACAACAAGTTTGACCAGGAAGCAGATTGTACGGCCAGATGTATGGGCGCTACCACAGTCACGGAGTACGTACCTTACGTACCCCCAGTTGAAAAAGATTACTGGACCGCCGAAGAAGGCTCCAAAAAGGAAGGGGAGACTGAAGTCGTTGTACTGCCCAGTGAACCCGTTGAATGTAGGTTGAGTTTGTTATAAATGTGGAATTTTGATATTGTAGGTGTATCTGAAACTTTGTTTAATGTTGTCGATTCTTCTCTTATTTATATTCCAACAATTCCATCTATTTAATTGCTACTGTCTGTGATTGTGCGCGTGCGAAGTGCGCTGTTTCATAAGTTATCATTGCTTATATTATCAGCGATGTAGGTTCCTATGGTTTGAACGCAAAAATAACTTTCTTATTGGTGGAATAATTAATTGATAAGTAACATAAAATGTTAATTAATACAAATAACGAGCCAACTGTAACTGTGATCCATCACAAAACTTTAAAATGAAACAACCTCCAAATGCAAACAGTGTGCATGCAAGAGAGTTCCGCTGGCACATGCGGGGACTGGGAAATCAAATGGTACTACAACAGCAGCAAACAATCTTGCTTCCAGTTTTGGTACGGTGGCTGCAACGGTAACGAAAACAGATTTGATGACGAAGAAAGCTGCGTCAGCCGATGCGCGCCGTTCGATGCGTCTGAATCCGACTCTTATGTCGTCGCCCTCGGCTGGCCGTCGCACGCCGAGGCAGGTCCCAATGACGATGGAAATAATACTCCCCTGGTATTACCAGATGTACATGTCGGTCGGTTGAATTTTGATTATTTTCTTCCGTTTCTAGCTATTTTTTTTATTAAAATTAATAATGTGTAATAATTATAAATTAATTAAATATCATAAAATTAATGCTATTGCAATTAGTTAATGAAAAAAATCTAACAATATAATGCTGTTGCAACAATTTCTATTCATTCAATTCACTAAACCACAGCCATTAATGACCTAGTAATGCATAATGCAATCAAGCTTTGACACCAATTGAAAAACCACACACCCCTCCACCAATTAACAAATGAAATGATTTCACGACACCGGCTGAAACCTACACTACAACCATCACCGTTATTATTATTATTATTACTATTATTATTATTATCATCATCATCATCTGGTAATTTGTATAGCGCCATATATTACACTCAAAGGCGCTAACAAACAACTTGCAGGTTGATTTCCATCTTCCACATTCATTTCACCACAGATGTATGCACATTGAAAGAGGACATGGGTACGTGCGACACATACGAGCTTTTCTGGTACTACGACACGACCGTTGGCTACTGTGTCAACTTTTACTACGGTGGGTGTGGCGGAAATGGAAACAGATTCCAGACCAAAGAGGAGTGTGAGTCCAGGTGCCTAATGACTGCTCCGGTTCCTACCCATCCAGAAATCGTCCCGATCGGTTAGTTGTGTTAGAGATTTTGAATCTGGGTTATGATTTTAGGAAAAAATATTTGGCTACTGTTAAATTGGTGGGTTAATACTTCATATGTCGTCTAAATTGGTGTTAGATTTTAGATAAATATTCAACGTTGGCGACTATTATATTTATTAATAGGTGGTTTAATACTTTATGTATAATCATTCAAAATGATCACAGGATTGGTTCTACAAAAGATATTTTGAAACGTTCCAATGAGCGGTGCAACTTATTGCTATAAAAACAGTTGAAAACATATTTTATCTCTGGATGAACTTGAAAATTGTTGATGATATATCTACTAAATAAAATTTAATTAAAACAATTTGATTGGTTATTAAACCTATATCAAACTAAACCAAATATCGCCTGCCAGCCAACCACTGCTACTTATCTGTTGAGCCTGGAAACTGCCACAACCACCAGGTGAGGTTTTTCTGGGATGAATCGAACAAGCAGTGCCGTCCCTTCGTCTACAGCGGCTGTGATGGGAACGAGAACAACTTCGAAACTGCTGAACAATGCTACAGTCAGTGCGGTGTCAACGTTCAAACCGAGAGACGAATTGCTTATGCAAGGTTTCATTCTGCTTCGTTTTGTTTGTTTTTGTCTTCCTCGTTGTTTGTTCCATCTTCAAGTTAAGAATTCGATTCTTTATCATATTTCGTTTATACATTAAAAAATATTCTCATGTTTTTCATGTTCATGGATTTAATTGATTTAATATTGATTTAAATACACCAGATCTACCTGTTTTGAACCAAAAGATGACACGACAGTTTGTGGCGAGTACCAGATGAGATTTTCGTTCGATTTAGGCTCGCAAGCCTGTATCGGTTACTACTATGGCAGTTGTCCTAACCCGGTCAACAGCTTCATCACCTACGAAGACTGCCAGGCTATCTGTCTGCCTGAGCTGAGTTAGGAATCTTGCTCTTTATAAACACTAGCATGCAAAATTTAATGAGAAGTGCTGTTGAACATCGCGGAAATAGCGCTTTATAATTAATTGATTAATTGGTTGATTGATTCTCTCGCTCAATTTTTTCATTCATTTACTCAATGTAATGTTTCGTTTTCGCAGTTTTGGAAGAGGCCAAAGTTTACCCAACTGGCAATGTTCATGTTGGGCACGAGCAACACGTTGAAAGTCACCACAGCACTGACCACGTCGAAGGTCGTATAGAAGGTCAAGAAGATAATTTTGTAGGTTATGAAGAGGGAGGTTATGGTGAAGATTATCGTGAAAACATGGTGGTAAATCCTAGCTACCATGAACCAGTTTCTGTGACTGAACCAACTTTGGCGGTAGATGAACCTAGTGTTGGAGAAAACTTCATAAAATACGGTATATTAATTCTTTAACTTTAATTACCTTTTTAAAGAGAAATTTTTTAAATAATTTTTCAAATTATGGAGCGAATCATTTGTAACTAGTAATATATTTTATAAGTTTCAATATAAACATGATGTTTCTAACTGATGGATAGGTGACAAGAATGTGACGATGTATATCAAAGCAGTGGGAGGTAATGGTATGCGGTTGGGCGGGCTCAAAGTGATAGAGTGCCACCTATTTTACAAAGCACCACCTGGACGCAGCTTCTCCTACAAGTTCTTCAAGGATGGCCAGCCAATTTACGTGAGCACGGATGAGGACGGTCCCTTCAGAGGCGGTGGATTCCAAATATCCATCCAAAATATCGACGAGAGTGATGTTGGCATTTATCACAGCGAGGTCGAGTTGGAGCCTGGTGTTACACTTGTATCTGCCAAGCTAGCTCTCTTCCTGGGTAGGAGCTTATTAGAAAATATTAAACATATTTATTCATATTTAAAAATATGATTAATTAAAATTTATTTAACCATCAATGTTTATTAATTTCTAATGCAATTATTTTAGAACACGAGAAACCCTATGTACACCATGAATACGAGTACGAGCAGACTGACACACAAATGGACATCATCACACCAGCAACTAGCGAATCAACCGTTGACATCAGCATCATGGAATCTGACGATGGCGTGACAGCCAAATGTTATGGTAACCTCAACTACGGAGCCTTAGTTTGGCTGGAACTTGATAACGTTAAAGTAGACAGCGCCGCGGTTAACATGCACGGGTTTGCCATGATTCCTATCCCTGAACCAGAAACAGGTAACTACAAGTGTGTGGCTTTCTTGGAAAATGGTCAGAAGATTATGTCCAACGAAAAATTTTATGAATCAAGTCTGGAAGTTTTTGCTACTCTGATCTCCGATCATGATTATCTGCACGTCAATGACAAATTGCACATGCAGTGCGATCTTGAGAGTCCGAATCCATACGACGAGAATGAAGCCAGCTACAAATTCAAAAAATACGATCCCGAGACTGGTTTCCTCTTGTCCGAACACGACACTGGCAAACTAAAATTCTTTGAAATCTATTCAGTAACCGAGGCAGATGCTGGCAGATTCACGTGCACAGTAACATACGGCAATGATGGGCGGGTGATCGTCTCGAACGGCCTCACTATCACTGTTAAGAGTCAGTTTATTCTTTTGCATACTTTATAAATCTTCTGTGCTTTTATAAAAATTTCATAGAAATTTATTCACTGATCCATCTACTAATACATATTTGTTATTACTCATGAATTCATCTAACAGGCAATGAAACAACAGCAAAAGAACAAATGGGGTGTTTAGGTGATAGCACAAATGCCGACTGTCAAGCGGTTGTACTGAATAATCTCTGCGCAGTTGAATATCTCAGAGATTTATGCTGTGCCTCTTGTAGGCAGTACAATGAAAACGGCCTGTTGGAGGACTCCAAAAAATAATAATGACTTCATTTATATATATATATATATATATATATATATATATATATATATATATATATATATATATATATATATACATAACTAGCTAAATTACATACTATCACAAGTTAATATATATTAAATGTTCTATATTTATATCAAATATATTTTAGTATTTTTTATTTAATTATAAAACAACGACATTAACAAGACAACGATTGCACGACACATACACGCACACAAGCACACGCACGCACAAGTATTTGTAACAATTTTCACTAACGTCTTACACGCACTAACGCGCACACATGAATGTTATCTAAAGTTGAAAAATGAATTTAAGTTGAAAAATGAATTTTTCTTACACTCTGTAGCTGTTTTGAGTCGTTGTTTAGATCGTTTGTTGAGTTTTTTTATTAGAATTTATTTATGGATATATTTTCCGCTAAGCTGAACTTGTTCTTTTTTTGAATATGCACAAATTTTAATACTTCATATAAGCCTTCCTACTTGTTTCAATTTTATGCATCAATATGTATCAACTGATAGTCCATTTTTTAGATTTCATGTTAATATTTTGTGTAATTCTCATCAAAAATTATCACCATTAAGTGCCTTCATAACCAAATGTTTTAACTAAACAGCAATCAAGTTATTTCAGTTTGGTGCTGACCAAATTAACTGAATCAAAGCAAATGTAGTAACATTTCAATTTGAATGTGCAATATTATCCGGACCAAATAATTAGAATGTAAGGCTTATTGAGATTAAATAAAATTTGTTTTAATTAAATCTGTTTTTTATGAATAAAAAGCTTTTTTGATTTTTTAAAATTACACTCTTGCACCAATATGAAGTTATAAAGTTTGAATGCCGCGGAGTTTGAACCTAGTAGCAATGACACCTCTGTTAACCTTTTCACAAACATCTCAATTCTTACCAACTTTTCTTAGATGGGAGATGAAAGACATTTTAAATAACCAGTTTGATTTCTTGATTCGAAGCCTTCACTGTATCAACCACGTACTATCACCAATCTCTTATTCACAAACAGAAAATTCTTTACTGATTTGGCATATACAACATAAAATTTTAAAAATCTTACGAACAGAATAATTCAATAAAATCTCTCTTTATTAATGATCCAAACGTTTTAGAAAAAAAAGAAAAAAAGAGAACGTAAGGTATAGCGGCCATAAAATAATTTTGTTTCTTAGACAAAACCCAGTTAGATTCATTTTCCAGAAAATTATCACAAATTTATTTTTATCGACATTCATTTCTCCAAGACACCAATCAGTTAACATTAGTATTAGATATAATTCTTACACAACTAGCACTAAAAAATTCCATACCAAAATTCAAACTTTTGTCAAACTCATAAGAGTATTTCAGAGATTGTTAAAGCAAATGTGGTGTACATTTTCATACACATAAATAATTTAATCATTACAATGATACATACAAAGATATATATTATGTACAGTACGAACAAAAAATATCTAAACCAACTAATCTGTCAGTAAATAATGAAATGAAACTACACATACATTTAATTATAAAAAATATCCCTGCTTAGATTGCTGCTAATTTTAACTAGATAATTAATTTGTGAATGGTATTAAAACTAGCCAGCCCATCTATCAAGCATGAAACATTTCCTTTAGACAGAAACACGATACAAAAAAGGGATATCATTCTATTTTATCTAACATCTTCGTTTCAACAAATGAATGAATGGCAAATTTTTCATTTGAAACCATCAGTCGCACCTCGACTAAGCATGCACTTACAGCAAATCAATCCTAAAGACTGAAACTGTTACAAGAACAGTCTACATGACGACTATCAATGAATATAAAAATACAAAAACAACTACAATATCGACAAGAACGACGTTAAGAACACGACAATATAGATAACATATTGTTCAATGACAAATAAACCAGTTTATTTTTCAAATTTCACACAAACGAGTGTCAGAAAAATAAATTAAAAAAAGTAGAAAATCATTAATTTAAGCCCTCTCTCCCCTTATACGTCTGGCCAGCTGAATGTCTTTGGGCATGATGGTCACTCTCTTGGCATGGATTGCACACAAGTTTGTGTCTTCGAACAGGCCAACCAAATATGCTTCACTAGCCTCCTGAATAATAGTGGCATTAGAAATTTAAATATTTAATATCTACAAGTTCAAACACAAGCAGAATTTAGACTTTGTTTTAAAATAACAAAAATAACATGAAATTTATATTTTAGATACACAAAATCAAAATAAAAAATTTCAACGATCAAAAAACAATAACTTAATTAAAACAAACCTGAAGGGCACCAATGGCCGCACTCTGGAAACGGAGATCAGTCTTGAAGTCTTGAGCAATTTCACGAACCAAACGCTGGAATGGCAACTTGCGGATCAGCAACTCTGTGGATTTCTGATAACGCCTAATTTCCCTGAGAGCTACAGTACCTGGCCTATATCTGTGGGGCTTCTTCACGCCACCGGTAGATGGGGCGCTCTTACGGGCCGCTTTCGTAGCCAACTGTTTCCTTGGGGCTTTACCTCCGGTACTTTTACGAGCAGTTTGCTTGGTACGAGCCATATCACCGAATAGTCACTCGCCGATTTGAAATTCTACAAAGTTTAGAATTGGTAAATTTGGTATCCGTGACGGAGATGAGTAATTTTCGATCTTTCTTATATTATCGCAAAAAAATAATTTAATAATAACGCAAAAATTTGCGATGATTAAAATAACCGACTTGATAAAATCCAAAACAGAAAAATATGATTTGAATAAAATATCGAAAAAACAGAATTTATGTCGATATTTGGACAAAAAGAAAAACAAACCTTGAAAAACCTAACAACGTCCAGCAAAGTATCAGCGCAAATAATAGACAACTAACGATACGTACAGCTATATATAAGCTATTAACGCTTCTATTCTTCAATCCGATTGGTTAGCTTAATCTCGGCCTCTCATTGGCTGATCACCTAACAAAGAACAAATTCTGATTGGATGGTGCTATTGCCAGAGTTGTAAAATAGTTACTAGTCTTTACTGAAAAATCACTAAATTGAGTTAAAATAACCTATTTTACGACTGTTAAAATTATTTTTTGATATAATAATTATTGACTAAACAAAATAAAACATTTTTTTTATAATTTTAACTGCAAATACACTGAAAAATAGTCATTTTCTCAACATGTTTATTCATCCATAGAAAAATAATTACAATTCAAAACAAAGCCAATAAAATTTATATCTTACCAAAGATTCTGCAGTGTGTGATGATTATAATTCTTTTTAATTTTTCCATTTCATACTTCCATTTTGACACTAATTTTATAATTTTAACTTTTTTTCTACAGTTTAATGCACCAGCTCAAATCCAAGTTGCTGTTAAAAATAACAAAGACCCACTACATTGCTACAGCAACCCTTCATACTAGATTTTGTTCAAAGGTACTCTCATTTGATTAGGTAGATGTTCCAACGTTCCAAGTCCAAAATATTAGCGCAAGAGCCAATCCCAATACTATCCACTGTTTATAATTACTTTTTACCAGAAGCATTCAAATTTATAATCTTAAAATGTACCTCTCACTGAAGATTTGCCTTGTTGAATTGAAATTCAGTGAAATATTTATCAGCTATCCGCAGTTTAATTGAAATAAGATCGAGCTAGTTAGCCACGGAAAAAATATGCTTTTCATGTTATGTTTTACATGAATAAAAACAACAAAACCATTTTTCGTAAGCATTTAATGAGAGATTTTGTAAAATTAACACAATAAATTTTGGTTATACAGGTGTAAAAAATCTTCCTAAACATGAATGTTAACTGAACTTTAATGACATATTAACAATGCCATTCTTACATTTTTTAATAAGATATGTTAGATAAAATAACATTTATGTGTATGATGCATGTATTTATATTATAATTCAAAAGATAATACAATTCAATATACAAGTTTGAACATTTAAAGAGCTTTACATTACATTTGAAATACAAGACATAGAAAAGAATAATAACAAATATCATTAATTAATGACTAAATATAATAAACTATTTCCTTGGCAGTATCTCCTTCAATAGTTTCATGGCATACGAATGTATTTTGTCAATTTTTATGTCACCTGGCTTTATTTTTGAAAACTTGATGGAATGAAAAATTTTGTTGTTTAGAGTTTAGTATCATGACAAAAAGATACAATGCAATAAGTTTAATTAACCAAATATACAAATATTTTACGAAAAAGAAAAATTAGGAAAAGAATGTGAAAATTTAAAAAAATTTTTTGCTTTAACTATGAAAACTTAATAACCTTTGGTACTGATTTCCTCATTATTTCCTTATATTGGTCCTTTGTAATTTTTTGTTTGGAATAATACGGCTTCAAAAATTCTTTCATTATTGATACAACTTTTTCTTGCGATGAAGACTTGGGACATACCTTGAAATTTTATATTAAATTATTATTAAAAAAAAAAACTAAAAATAACTATAAACTAACTTCGTCAATTTTCTTTTTCTTTGGTAATTTTTTATTTTTAAGTAATGCAGAACTTTCATTGGCATCAGGGCAATTGAAAGTAACTACTTTTCGACACAAACTACCTGACTTGTCTCCAAGGGATTTGTCATTATCATTGGGTGATGATTTACTGTCATCTGAAGAATCTACGTTGTCTGTATCAGCTACCTTAGACAGGGAATCAGGACATGTTTGAGATTTTCTTAAAGTTTGGTTGCTGTTAGCATTACTATGATAGTCTTGTGAAAGCTGTTCATTGTTATATAGGTTATCATCATTATTCGTTAAATCAGACTTTGAACATGATGCAATGGATTCCATTTGGGCAGTTTTCAAACCCTTTTGCATCCGTTCCCTGTATCTATCTTCAATAGTTTTGCATGGAGTTTTGGCTATTGTGTTTAATATATTATTGTCAAAACTGTCAAAATCATCTGCTTCTGATAAATTATTAAAGACATTATCTGTTTCTGCAGCAGTTAGAGGCTCCAAATGATTATTTGACATGTCTTTCTTTTTGAAAATTTGATCAAACTTCTCTTCAGATGTTAAGTTTTGATTCGAATCAGCTTGATCAAGTCCTTGCTTTGATCGCTTGAAGCTTGAATAAGTCATGTGTGTCGTTTGTGGCTCAGTCTTTTGGTCCCTTTTAGAGTTAATCAAATTAAAATTTTTATTGTGATTATTTTTGTTGAAATTATGCTCTATACTATTATTTAAATTTTTTATATTTGAACTATTTTGGCAATTATTGTTGAATTTTTTGCTCCCATTGTGAGACTGGTTTGAAAACTTGTTAAAACTGTTAATATTGTTGCGCCTGCTTGAACCGAACCCGCCAAAACTTTCTGTAGGCCATTTAAGTGACTGGTCCGGATTAATTATGCTATCTTTTCTTTGTAATATACTTCGATGTTCTAAAGTTTGTTGTCGTGGAATTTCCCCAGAGGAGTCGGCCTTTTTTAATTTTGGTATTCTCGGTAAAATGGGTATAGCCCTAATTTTTCGCGTCAACTCGTCTTCGTCCTCCTCAGAAGACCTACCGTCGTTGTTATTGTTAAAATTATTTTCATTTTGTTGTTCATCTGTATCTGCTGTTATGTTCTCCGTCTCCAAATAGTTGGAATTGTTTATATTTATGAAATTTTCACGTATTTCATCATCACAGACGTTCTCTAACTTGTCATTTTCCATTTTAAATTACGAACAATTATTTTTGTTAATTAATGTTTTCGCGAAATATTGAAATAATTAAAAAATTCGCTATTTCCACGAAATTACAAATAGAACAGGTTTCCTTTAAGTTTCCTTTTAAAAATCTGTCAATCACGATTGAAAAATTAGTGATGCGCTACAATAACATGAACATTCTGAACGATAAAACGAACTTTGTATCGTATTAAATAATCGTTTGCATGGCTAACACTAAATCGTCTAAAAAAACATCATTGATTTCTCGAAAACACAATTAAACTTCAACACATTAACAACAAATCATTTACGCAAGGATAAAAACAGTCATTTATTCACAGAAACCGATAAATTTATAATACAGTCAAATCTTTTATTTTTTTAATTTGGATTTAATATTTTTCATCACATCTTTTGGAATCTTCATCTGGCCGTCATTATAACGAACCTGATTATTATGGATTCTACCTCCTCTGTGGTTTCTGTAGAATGTATTAACTGATTTAAGTCAGCAAATCACAAAGTTATGAGTGGATCTATTTTTTTATTAATTATTATTCTATTATATTATGAAATCTGTAATTAAATAAACAATTGATAATTGAAATTACTGAATCAGATATGACTTACATTTTTTTCTTGTCAATCTGGGATCTTTTTATGAGCTTGCCTCCAAACAATTTCTTTTTGTTGATAAATTATTAAACAAAAATGGAAAATATTTATTTTATCACAACTATAATATAAAACATTTATGTTTATTTTTATAATACTATAAATATGTTTAAAAGAATTGTGAATAATAATTAAAATATGGAATTAAATAAATAAATTTAATAATAATAAAATAAAAGTTCAGTCCAACCCTCATCTCCTGTTCTTTCAATAAATTTTGTTTTTCACTTTGTTTTTTAGCAAGAAATTCTTTATAGTTGACAGCTTTGTTTTTTGGAGGCTATTAGTATAGAATATAAAATAAATTGAATATTAAATAAATTAAATATTTAGATTTAGTTAGTTAAATGTTAGAGTAGATGTTAGAAGAGGCTCGCTAACGGCTAACCGCTAACTAAAACCACTTTAATAATTCAATTTTTTACTGCTGAAATATCATTTAGTAGTAAAAGACCTAAAAATTCTATGCTGTTTAGAACTGATAAAATAAATGGAGATACAATTTTTACCTTGGCCCCTAATTTTGTTAACATTCGAACGGTGGCGTCCTCTTTCTCATCACTGGCCAGTCCCTTGAGACCGAGTTGCAAGACCTCCATCTTCGCCTTTTTCAAATCAAACTCAATTTTGCTCTTTTTAACTTTTTCTTTGTTCTTTTTGTCCTTTTTTTCTTTCCTCATTTTTTGATCACGTTGAAATAAATTATATTTTATCTTACGATTAAGAATAGCGATTAGGAAAGTGAGCGATATTATGAAGCCCAAAACAATAAATGTAAACCACAGATAAAAAACTGTAAAAATAACGCTTGCTCAGAACCGATGTTGTAAAATTAAAAAATAAGTCTTTTTTTGTAGTATATTTTAAAGTTGAGTAAATTTAAATATTGTAATATTACTGAAAATACGCATAAATCCTTTTAAGAAACAGAATTTTTAAGAAACAAGAGGCTAACTATGAACACCTGTATGCTGGCTCACCTGCATTATCGCTATTTAAAAACGTTAGAAAACGAAACGGCTCCCGTGTAAGTTTTACGAAAACTGATTTTTAAATAGCAATAAACAACAGCAAAAAAATTATATAGAGAAGCATTAGAAGAAAAAATAATTTTGATTAATTTCATTATTGATAATCTGCTTAATTAATTTATATATGTAATAATAACTATAAAATTTATTAAAATACAAGATCACATATATATCATATTGAATGTAATATCTGGCGCATGAACAACTCCTTACTATAGAATTAACACAAAAAATAGACCGAAAAATTCGATTGCAATGTCCTCTACTTCTACACTCACATACTCTTTCAAAATGATGTTCAGACGATTTTATCGTTTGCCTCTGTTAGCACGCTTGTTCATCCAATCTACCATCATATTCCTGTTTGTGTTCATTGCTTTCCAACTTCTTTTTTTTTCATTCAACGTTTTAAATCGACCAACATTCCTTGAATACGACAAATGTCCTGCTTGCTACGGATTCAAGGCATGCAGCAGCATTAAAAATGGTGAAATTCTAGTTGATCAGAGTTCAAGTTTGAATGGACTCTTTTATTCAAACCAGCACATAATACACGGCAAGCATGTCAATGGCATAGATGTCATCATCTCCAAACTAGGTGGACAACATAACACAAAGGCCTGGGAAGAAAAAATATGCACAAAGGTGTGATACATTCACCAAACATTTTTCACTCATTAACATTTCAGTTTGCACACAATTTTCCTTACAGGCTAAGAAGAAGCAACAATGTTACATCAGTGAAGCAGCGAAAGAACTGTTTCCAAAATCTGGGTCCAAGTGGATTTTAGAAGCAGTGAGAGGGCAGTCAATGATGACTGCATGTCCAACTGAAAGATTAATTAGTGCCATCACATTCCGATACACTGAAATGCTCGATTCCATAGATATATCAAACACAGAAAGAATACAGTTGGTTTTGACAATATGGAGGAATCAAGAACCAATCATTTATCAGATCTTCTCCAAGTCAACTGACTGGCCATTCCCTCAATATTTAGGAGCATGTGGCAGAGTGGTTGTCTATGAAAACCCAGGCAAACCTCTGTACACATTCTATGATGAACCTTGGAATTTCAGAATAAGGTTGCAATAATAAATCATTAGCTAAACAAATAAACTACCAGCCATTTTTCTAAAAGTAGATTAATTTGTTCTATGATTTTTATTAATAAGAATAGATTTTATTGTTTTCAGATTGGCTCTCAAATTGTTGAACATAGCCCACAAGTTCACATTCAATCCATCTCAATACGGCATCTACATGATGAAGGTTGGCGCAGATACGTTCCACTACAAACAAGAAACGAAGGAACTCTTCTACACGAGCGCACGAAACATCCTCATTGTTGACAAGTGGCAGCTGGAAGAAAATAAAAAAGAAAACCTCGGTAATCATGAAGATAACTACCTGAAAACACCAACAATCTGTGAAGTTAGCAACAGCGACATCACCAAAAAATGCAAGCACGACGAACACTGGCCGTCGACGACAAAGAACTTATGCAATGGCTTGTACTCAGACCATAATTATTACGCAGTCTGCAGGAATATATTGTCGCCAGTTAACACAGAGGCCGGTGGTTCAAATGCTGGCCTCCTCCATGATGTCCCACACAATGTCGATACACTTTTTGGACTGAGTCATCTCATGCAAAGCTGTCTCAGTCCAAAACCAAATGATAGCAGGAAAGATATTGTGACGAGGATGATTAAGATCTTGAAGAGTATGATTGAAGATAATAATGATGACGACAACGATGATACAAGTCATGATGTAGATATTTAATTTTTTTAATTTATTTATTTCATCAAATGGCAAAAATAAACTGACCGGTATTGAACAATGTACATATATATACTTATGAAAAAATTTGAGATAGCATTTGAAAAAATCTGTAAAAAATGTTTTGAATCAAATGTTATTTTGTCCAAGAAACTTTTGGTATATCAAAATGTTCAGTTAGGCTGTCCAGCTTCTGGTTGAACTCCTAAAAAAAATAATTTTAAAAAAATATTAGGTCAAAAAGATTAACACGTAATTCATATGATTAATTGATATAACAATACCACCAAAAGACACATGAGACTAACTAAGAAAAATGAGTATAGGATGGATGTTTATTAGGTATTTTCACACTCTGAGACATATTTAAAAAAATTAATGGCTCACCATAATTCTTTCTTTGTGGGTTTTTGATGCTTTCTTCATAATTTCCTCCAGTACCTGAAGGTTCCATGAAGAAACATTGCATAGTTAGTAAGTTAGTTAACATTTAGAAAAATAATTTTAAATCAATGTTTCATACTTTCATCGTTTACTATTTATTCCTAAAATGTTTATTGAAAAGTATTTTTAAATATTAAATTGTAATCAAAAAAAGAATGATGCCAATCAAACCCTCTTTTCTTTGGCCTTCTCAAATGCAATTTCTGCAGCTGTCTTCTTTTCCACTGGCCTGACTGTTGAAGAGTTCACCATCTCAGCAATTTCCTTCTCATTCACATCTTTCGGTTTTTTGCTTTTCTTTCTAATTTATTGTTTAATTATTATATAATTTTATTAAAAAACTATTTTTAATTAGATAAAATAAACATGAATAAATTTAATATTAAAAATTAATTAAAATTGAATTAATTTTTAATTAAATTTAAATTTAATTTTTATTAAAAATTAAATGGTTTGAAATGAAAGAAACAAACTTTTTAATTTTGTGCTCAGAAACTTTCTTGAGTTTCAGAGATCCCCTAGAGACCAATTCGTATTCGGACATGATGGAAACAATATCTCAACGATTAGATTAGAACCGAGAACTGATGACGAACGGTCAAACTCCGACCAGACAAACCAACGAATTGGGAACTTTACAGCTTGCTTGTTTACTAACGTCGGCTTAATCATACACGATCAAAAAAAAATATAGAGCTAAACTTGCAATGGTGAATTTGCTGACAAAAATTGTAATAAGACAGAATGACTGTTCATTTGCATAACTTGAATCTTGACAAATTTTATATAGTTCTGGTTGCACAAAATTGTATCTATAAAAAGTTAGTATACGAATTAAACATTAACGGTGAACCAGTGAACCACGTGCGACACTGATGACGTCAATCAAAGAATGAACACTTCTGTTTGCAAGCAAAGTTTATGATAGAAAAAAATAAGACAATTCCAACGTAAATTCTTGAGAGCAGTTTTATAATATTATTCATTGTATATTTTAATAAATGGGAAGCAAGATGAGGTGATGCAACAATCCCATCCCAGCAGTTAAGCCCGAACTTGCTCTAGTGTTCGTGACAATGAGTCAGTGATATAGGTGCTAATATAGAATAAACCAGTAGGTTTATTCTGAATATATGAGTGCAACCTTATTTTGCATCCAACGAGGGGTTGTACGTTTGTAAGTCATATTCGAGTAGCTCCATCCTCTTTCATGCCTACAACACATATATTTATCGGCAAATTGTAAGCCACGTATATATGTAAAATAATAATAATACAAAAATATTATATATAAAATAATATAATAATATTAAAATATAATCAAATAAGAACGAATTAAAATTGTCATAACTCCCAGCGATAACACGGGAGCAGTTTATTTACTATTAAAATTTTCATTACCTGATAATGAAATCAAATAACACAATTCGTTCGGATATTAATAATTTCAAACGTATTAAATACATAGACATACACACACACACACACACACACACACACACACACACACACACACATACACACACACATATATAAGCGCGGAAATTGTTAAAAAAATATCTGAAAATGAACATTTGAATGTAATGAGTTGTAATAGTGATGCTGTTCTAACTTTGATGAAATGCCAATAGACATACATCAATAAATGCCAAACTTAGTTAAGTGTAACAAAACTAAAATAATGATATGAACGTGTGTGCAAATATATGTATGTATGTATGTATGCATGCATGTATGTATGTATGTGTGTTTGTGTATGTATGAATGCATTGAAACAACTAACACGTTGTGTCATGTACAAGTAACAATTTAGCGAAAATAACAAAGCTTATTCGCTAAGCCAACTTTTCTAAGATATAGCGTTATCCTAGCAGTGTAGCATCTAACTTGAAGATACAGTGAAGTATCTAACTTGAAGATTAGTATCTAGCTTGAAGACAGCATAGTATCTAACTTGAAGATGAGGTGTGGTATCTAACATAAAGATGCAGTGTAGTATCAAACAGGAAGATACAGTCTAGTATCTAAGAAGAAAAAATGATTATTTTGAAAGATAAATGGCTGAAAAACAGTTCAAATGTAACATTAGATCACATTGATAACATTAGATAAAAAATGTTGCTAACGAAAATGCAATTAATGCAATGATGAAAACCTTCTAACATTCATACACGTCTGAAAATGAACCAATTAAAACGTAAAATAAAGTCGATATAAAAATATAAATTTCACGCCATAATCAAGAAAAAAAGTGTAAATTCAAGAAAATACATTTGATTAAAAATATTAAAAAAAAATATTAATTAAAAAATAAATAAACAAACATAACGACATTAAAAGAAATACGGCTTTACGTTGTGGTTACTCAATAAAAAGCAAGGAAAGACAAGTTTCTCATTCATCATCGTAGATTCAAGATGACACTTTTAGATAACGAACATCACAAAATTAAATATAAATAGGCTATTTAATTAATATAAGCTATTAAAAATTAGAAAAATTATTCAAATCTAGTTCGTGATACAAACAAACACACATACACACACGGCTAACAATGTTAAAGTTTCAAGATTCTTTTACGGCCACTAACTTATCAATATGATTGAAGATTTAAGCAAACTCGAAAACAGTTTTAAACTTCAGTTGAAAATCATCAGATGATTATTATTATTAGATATGTTATCTGAACACCAAAATTGAATCAAAATAGAAAAAAATATATGGAAAAAACCTCAAATTAATTACCCGGGTGTTACCTACCAGCATCGATTTACAAATTGAAAATCGTACTAAAACTATCATTAAAGCCACAATAGAATCATAAATTACTCGACGATACTTTAGAATCTCTAAAAAATTAACTTGAAAAACAAAAAAACGCTAAAAAAAATCATTGCGAGTGCAAGTTCTCCCTCGTAACTTTCAGGGCATCTGTCTTCTCAAAGTCGATTTCTTTGTACTCGATTTTGTTGTCCAATAAAAGTTTGGGCGGTCGGGACTCGACATTCGAATCACCTTCAAAGTCAAGGTCGGCGTACTGACAGAGTAAAGATGTATTTTATTTTATTATTATTATAATAATTTAAATAAATGTATATTTTTAATTAAATAATTTAATATTGATTGAGAAACTTTCGACAGATTTCAAAATTTGAAAAAATTTATATACAAGAAACCGAAAATTTTGTATTTTTATCCAAAAGATATTTGACACAAAATCAAAACTCAGAAACAAAGAAACTTTAAAAACCTCCCAGCTCCCGTATCGCAGTAATCTTAAAAATTAGTTAATTCCCATGCATAACGAAGACATCATTATTCAACCACACGTTTTTGAATTAATTACAACTACGTACACAAACAAAGAGAGAACTATAAAGAGTTAGAGACGGAAAGAGAAAACGAGAAAGAGACAGAAAAAGAGAGAAAGAGAGAGAGAGAGAGAGAGAGAAAGAGAGAGAGATAATCACATATACAAACGGGCATAAACATAAAAACATACAATAAACAAAAAACAAAAAAAAATTTAATACATACATGAATTGCGGTATTAGGTTTTGTGGAGTCCGTCGTCGTCGTCTTATTCTCAGCAGTGGTCACTCTTCCGTCGATGACGTCATCGTTAACAAAGACATTACAATCGGACGACATTCTGGTTTTTCTCTGGCGCTCCCATCTATCGAACTTCAGCAAGTCGCTCGGGCCATTCGTAATTCCAGACGTCGAGCCAATCGCGCTATCTTCCCGACCATCCCTCCAACCACCATCCTCCTCCTCCTCCTCATCATCATCATCATCATCATCGTGGCCAACGTCAATTGATGACGAAGACGATGACGAAGACGATGACGTAGCCGATTTCGATGATGATGATTTGATGTTTTCTGAATGGTACTTGTTGCCAACTTTCACAGGTAGAAGGAGGTCCGGTGATCTGATTGGTTGAATATTTGATGGATGGATGGATGGATGAGATTGGATGGAGAGATGGATTGGATGAGATGGATGGATGAGATGGATGGATTGGATGAGATGGATAGATGGAATAAAAGATGAAGGATATTTTGAAACAATTGAATTAATGATTGACAAAATGAAATGTCCTCTGGACCTGATGATTTGAACATATTATATCATATATACACAGGGTTATATTTACTCGTGGTATTAAAAATTTCGCTAGCTACATTTAATAATAATAAATAACAATAATAATAATATAATAATATTAGTGAAATAATAATAATAACAACAATAATAATAATAATGTAACAATGAAAAAATATAAATTCCAATAAAGTGAGTACAGCAATGAGGAAGCTGAAGTCAAAAGAACATTGAAATTCACAATGGAGGGTAGACAAGTTTATGAATGAATGAATGAGTGAATGAATGAGTGAATGAATGAATGAGTGCATGAATGAATGAATGAATGAATGAATGAATGAATGAATGAATGAATAAATAACTAAACAGTAAATAAAAGGATGGATGGTCAGATAGATAGGCAGATTAATGAATAAGTGAATGAATGAATGAATGAATAAAGAAATGAACAACTTACTAGTCAGATGAGATGCAACAGCAGATCATAATGAGTTAAAACATCCATAAAATGATGAATAAAAAAAATATAAAAAAAACAAACAAATAAAAGAATGAACGAATGGAATGAATGTACGAACGAAGGAATGAACAAATGAGATGAATGAATAAATGAAAGATTGAATGGACGCAAAAATAAATAGAAAAATATATAATAGCTAAACACATATTAAGCACATATTGGCAAACATTTATAGAGCAAAATGAAATAAGAATGTGTACAGAAGTAAAGAATATGTATTGGTTGAATCTTATCATGATCAATAGGTATTTACATAATTATAGGAATATATAAATTTAATTATTAATATTATCAATTTTCTCTTAATTAACTTTGAACATGAATATGACCAGACACCACCACATACATAACCACAAAACACCATAAACATTTAAATGATGTTATCTCTATGGGGAGTGACAGATGACCATGATGATGATGGATGGATTGACAAATTGTGCTGTGTGAGTAGAATAGATGGATGTATGCACCTGAAAAAAATATTTAACCATGAAAATGATGATGAAATGATGAAGATGATGATACAATTATTACACACACACACACACACACACACACACACACACACACACACACACACACACACATAACAAGCAAACACACACACATAAACACACACACCCCTCACTAAGACATAATTATTTCATCTTCATTGGAAATACATTATTAGAAGTTCATTAACAAATATCAACAATTAAATACCATCAATATTAGGATATATCATCAGTAAAATATATTTATTATAGATTATAAATGTGAAACATATACATCACATCAATACCGTTATTAACTCATATCATCACATAGTAAACATTCAAGTGTGATACAGTGAAATGTAATGAATTTTTACCACACAAATAATTGTCACATATATCATATAAATAATGATATCATAACGATATATCACTAATATATCAACCGTTTAACCCACCTAAAATGTTTGTTGTTGTTGTTATTGGTAGCAGTAGAAGCCTTAGAAGTGAGAGAGATAGCTTCATCTTGATCCTTGTTGAATGCTATTGTTGTGTCTGTGTGACAGACTATAACTGTGTAAAATTTCATCTTATTCATTAATTAAATCCATTTTTATGCAGTTATTAATTAATTAATTAATTCAATCATTCATTCATTATCCACCCATTCATCCGTCCGTCCGTCCATCCATCTATCTATTCATTCATCCAAACATGGTAATAAATAAAAGCAAAGAAATACAGCCTATCCCAAGCCATTGAACCAAACCAACCTAGGCAAGCTTGAAATTTGCATTACATTGTTACGCAGTTAATAGTAGTAGTAATACAATGATATCCACACACACACACACACACATACATACAAATACATACACATATCAACACATAATACAATGATACACACACACATACGTACGTACATACACATACATACATACATACATACATACATACATACATACATACATACATACATACATACATACAAACAAACATATAATACAATGATAAACACATTTACATACCTACACATACATACATACATACATACATACATACATACATACATACAAAAAAACAAACATGTAATATAATGATATACACAAATACATACAGACAAACATACAAACATGTAATATAATGATATACACACATACAAACATGCACATACACTCACTCACACACACACACACACACACACACACACACACATACAAACATGTAATACAATGATATACACACATATACAAACAAACAGACAGACAAAAAATGTAATACAATGATGTACACAATTATCAGTTATAGGTGACTCACAGATTTCTAACATACTAGAAATATTAATAGCTCTCAACTTAGCACCCATTGCCAGGCTAGCTAATTAAACTCACAATTAAAATTCCCAAAATGAAGGTTTAATGGACTATAATTAAATGACACTGGACACAATTGCATTGAAATAATTACAGAAATTAATTACAGAAAATAATTACAGAAATAATTATAGAAATGATTAATTACTTGATGGATAATTAGAACTCATAAGCAGGAAAATAATTACAAATTATTATTCAATTATCTAATTATTTACAAATTATTCATAGTATTTATCACTGCACAAAGCAGTCTTTTAACTGTATCTCAATGACATTATAATTAGAAAATTTTAAAATAAAAATGAACCCCATGTAGTAGTGGCTTACCATTCTTATTGTGGGATCTACCCGTCTGTACTGCCATCTTTAGGGAGTTTACATATTTATCTTGCCTCTGCTGCTGCTGCTGGTGGTGGGACTGTGGCTGCTTATGTTGGCGACCATTATGATGTTGGAGATGGTTTTTGTAGTGGGCCGGCGATTTAGGAGGGAGAGAGGGTTTGGTGAGGGTCGATGGGACGTCATAGATGCTGTTATGAGCCGGCGGACAGGCGTGTAACAAATCCTCATTCATGTATAATTTACTGCTGCCTGATGATGCATTGCTTCGTTTTTTTGGAAATGGGTCGAGGTTATTTTTGGCTATCCAAATTGGTTCAAACTGGCTGTCATCCTCGTCTTCGTCATTTGCGATCTGGTTCTGGTAAGATTTTGGTAATTTATAAACATCGTCGGCAGCAATAGTTTTTCGTGGTGTGTTGTAAATGCCGTCTTGAGTGTCGTTGTCTGTTTGTTGGAAGTCAGGTGAGGTGTGGTTGGTGGAGAGCTCCTTTCGTTCTATGCAGCTGCCTGAGTAGGTTGATGCAACATTTGTTCTGCTGTTGCTAGTTGCAGAAGTGTTGTAGACAGATTTGGTTGATGATGAAGAAGGCGTGTTGTAAATAGATTGAGAATGAGATGACGGTGTCGTTGGAGTGTTGTAAATAGAATAAGTTGATGGTGATGAAGTATGAGATGAGAAGGTTTCCCTTGTCTTTTTTGGCAAGAGTGCTGGAGCTGGAGAAGCAGCTTCATCAGCTGGTTGTTTGGAGGCAGATGAACAATCTTCCAGAAACAAATAGTCACTAGGCAGCTTGGTTCTGACTGGTGACGTCGTGTAAGTGTTGAGAGGTGTTTGTAGGGACTGCTTGCGTGGGACCAGGGCAGGAGCCTCTGGGCTCTTCAGGGGAGACAAGGGTTTCGGGGAGGCTGTCAGAATTTTAAACAATACTCAATCTAAAGTAGGAATAGATTGAATTCTACGGCAATTAACAGTAACACAATTAAACACTATTTTCAAAAACAGTCCCAAATGGAAAAAATTAAATGTAATAACAACTTTAATAGATTATATTCTGTAGAAACCTAACCTTTTCGATTTAGCCCGACCACATCACACAGCAACTTGACCCACTCATCAAGTTGCTCTTGGGATTCAGATGATAAATAGTAATCTCTCTCCTTGTCTTTACAAACTGTCTTCATGACAAATATATGTTTGTATGTTTCAGAGTTGAAATTAACAAATATCGTGTGGCACTTCTCCAAATCTATCGAGCCTTTCTTGTTTGTCATTTTGTCATCAGAGTAATAATCCAAAATGGCAGAGCACATCTTACCAGGTAAAGTGCCTGATGATGGAGGCACATATAGGACAAAATATCGCCTACGCCATTTCTTGAAAATTTTTTAGAACTAAATTAAATTCAAATAATGTACATAGATAACTAGACACTAGGACTAGATAGAATAGAACTAGACTAGCCCACCAGACCGAAACAAATGGGACAAATAAAAATTAAAATATTAAAATTAAAATAAATTAAAAAAAACATACAACAAATTGTTTCACTATGTATTTTTCACTAACGGATTTGAAGAACTTCCACGGTCCGTGTGTTTTGTACTCTGGCGGAGATTTGGTCAGCCAGCCGGCGTGTAACCTCTCCATGTCGGAGTAACAATAAAAAAAATAATCTGTTTCTTTTTCTTTTTTTTTAAGTAGAGGACGAAGCCGAAGTTGACCAGACAGGCGATGAAATAACTGAAAAGTTAACAAATAAAGATGTAATTTGTAACTAAAAACTAGGCAAATTAATTTTGCTTTCAGTTAACGATAAATAAAGGAAATAATAATTAATGATGAAAATAATTTAGAGACTCAACCACTTCTCTATCGAATTTAACGTAGGAAGCTGCTCATTGTTTATATTTGAAGTAGTGCAAAGAATGAACGGCCCAATAGTTATTTTTTAAACAATTTTTTAAGTCTATGTTTTTTATGTCCATTTAACCTCACAAAAGCATGATTAAAATGATTATAGACTTTGGAATTATTAAGATAGTAGACAAATTATTGAGACAAACGTTTTTCAAAGCTCATACCTCGTGACAAATAGTCAAAATAGTGACAATAGTCAATAGTCAAGTTCATTCTTCAGGTATTCAAAGAAGTTTATGATCTGGCTAAGAATGCTTTACCTTTACGTTAAAAACCTTTTTTTATTCAGTTATCTTATATATATATATATATAATATATAATATATATATAAAGAAATGTTTTAAATGTGATGAAAATTTATAGTATTAAAATCGAAAGCATATCTCATTAATAGTTACAGTCCAGTGCATTGGCCAATCAAGCTATCAGAGGTCATTAAAAAATTATTCGTTTTTTATTAAAAAGAGTTCTTGTAAACTTCTCATGATCTGTCGAAAGTCTAAAGCTTGCACTTTTCTAGTTTTTGTTTTTTGATACTCTCGTCTAAAAAACTTCGAAAAATTAGATTTCTGTGACTTAATATGCAAAAACATTAATGTTTTTAATATATTTTATTTGAAACCAAATATTAATGAAATTTGAATATCTTTAAGAACATTTCACGATAATTTAGTGGTTTTATTGTATTAGTAGCCACTAGTTTCATAAACTTTCGTGCTTTCCAATAACGATTGTGAACAAATGATTAGGTACTAAATTATATTTCATCGTTTTTATTACTGAAGATTGAAAATTATATAAATTTTCTTTATTTGTGAATTTGTTGTATTTTATCATCTTCATTCTTGAAAAGGATAAGCAAGTATCTTTTATTGACTGACCCTAGTTTTTATTAGACAAATATCCGAGTTATTGTGTGGTAAGTTGAAGGTGGTAAGATTTTTTTTCATCACATGATTTCTATAAAAGAAATAATTGAAACTTTTTCAAACACTTTATGTTAACAATGCAAAATTAAATATGCATCAAAATATGCCTTTCGAAAAGTTGAATCTCATATTTGACTGTAAGAAAAGCAAATCAAAGCCCGTGTCTTATGCCATTAAAAAAATCTGCTCCAATTGTTTTTTAATCTTATCAAAATCATATTATCAGCTATTTTCAACACATTTACATCGACAACAATTTATGTCATAGGCCTTCTTATTAGACGGTTAAACAAATAAAAATGTTTTTCAGTTATTCACTCATTCGAAATAAAATAGAAAAATTTAATCTCACGTCCAGGGAAAAAAATTGCCTCGCAAACTATTAATAAATTTACGAGTAGCAAGGTTAGAATTAGGCATAGTAGTACGATGACCATTAAGGGCCTTTTGCTTTTCGATAGTTTATTGCACATCTCGATGATTGTGAGTGAGTACTGTCGTTTGTCCATGTGACGTGGGTATAAGAATGTCTCCGGCATGTTTGTAGAATTCGTAGATATTTCCTGTTGAAAAATCACTTGTTAGAATTTATTTAAAATTGTTAAAAGTTTAACATCAATTAGCTGGCTAAAAGTTAGACGATGTTGATGCTTTTGAAAAAATTTAACTTAATTTACAACATGATGCTGACATATGACGTATCTTGTTTGTTGTGTTGCAAAAAAATTGGTGAAATTAGCCATTTCAGGGTGAAACCTTTGCAATAAGAATAGCGTTACACTGAATTTTAAGGAGCAATTAATTTTGAATGCATGTAAAGGACTCACGTAACATTCATTATGGCTATGTTATATTGTGTTCATCAGGCTGGAATAAATTTTTCGATCCTCCGTACTCTTTCCTTATTCAGAGTTTTTATTTTTTGCAATGAAGTTTTGTTGTGGTTGCGATCGAATTTTTAACTAATTTTTGTAAATTTATTCATTTTGGTGATATTTAAAATAAGTTTATTCATTAAGTATGGCACGTTTTAAGTTTTATTCGTCTCAGAAACTGATATTTTTAATATTTGTCGTCGGAGATGTCACGAATTTCGTCACTTCAGTTTCGCCGATGGACACCCATCATTATCATCATTCAAAATTGTCCGACACTCATCTGCCCACTCATGGCAAGTGCGAACCAATCACAATAGAGCAGTGCAAAAATTTAGAATACAACGAAACAATAATGCCAAACGTTTTGAATCAAATGAAGCAGTCAGATGCCAAAGAATCCATAACACAGTACAGCAGACTGATTCAGAGCAGATGCAGTCAGTACATTCAAATTTTCCTTTGTTCAGTTTTTGTACCTGTGTGTACACAGTTAGAAACTGCACTTCCTCCGTGCAGATCGCTTTGTTTGAATTCAAAATTAGATTGCGAATCAGTAATGAAAGCTGCTGGTTATGGGTGGCCAGAGGAGTTAGATTGTAAAAAATTTCCTGACGATAACGTCAATGTACTCTGTGTTAGTGTGAATGGATCAGAAAAGGATTCTAGTAAAGAAGGGCGTAAAAATAAAAATTGGCCAAATAAGGGATCAAGAGGGGGTAATGATGGGGCTAGACAAGGTCCAAAGGAATTGTACTGTCCTACTTTTATGAGAGCAGATTCAAAATCTGACTACAGATTGTTCATTGGTGATTCAGTGATGAAGAGTTGTGGTATGCCATGCGGTGTCAAGGGAGATATGTTCTCACTTTCTGATAAAAGAAAACTTGTCAGGTTGATAATTTGCATTGTGGCTTGCATCTGTCTGCTCAGTTCTCTTTTTACATTTTTAACTTTCCTCGTTGACACGAGAAGGTTTCGTTATCCAGAAAGGCCGATAGTGTTCATTTCTGCTTGCTACTGTGTTATAGCCATTGCATATATTGTAGCATATGCACTGGACAATAAAATATCATGTTCAGAATTTGTTGAGCATTTTGATGATGACATTTCATTTCAGTCTGAACTGATCACACAGGGTACAAAGAGAGAAGGATGTACAATCATATTCGTCATGTTATACTTCTCTACTTTGGCAAGTTGCATCTGGTGGGTCATATTGACATTAACCTGGTTTTTATCTGCAGGTTTGAAATGGGGACAAGAAGCTGTAGAAAGCAGATCACAATATTTTCATCTCTTGGCCTGGGCAGTCCCTGGAGTGATGACCATTGTGCTGCTGGCCATGGGTCAAGTTGATGGTGATGCACTGACTGGTATTTGCAACACAGGCCTCACCAATAAAGAAATTGCAACAGCATTTGTTGCAGGTCCTCTCATTATTTTGCTGTCCGTTGGAATATTCTTCCTCCTTGCTGGATTCATCTCTCTTTGCAGAGTTAGAAATGCTATGAAGTTCGATGGTAACAGGACAGACAAGTTGGAGAAACTGATGGTGAGAATCGGTGTATACGCCCTACTTTATGTTGTACCAGTTGCATTCGTCGTTGGTTGTGTCTTCTACGAGCATGCCTGGAGGACCGAGTGGGTGAAAGGCTGGTACCATCAGACATGTTCAGACCTCCTCATGTCCGGGGAGGGCCATTTTGGAAATGTTTTTGAACTCGACTTTGAGCCAAACTACCTGCGAAGTAATGTAATCTTGCAGCAACAGCAGTGGGCCTGTGGTAACTACCCATCCCACTTTGCTAATTATGCTGGTAGTAAACCCGATTTGACCATCTTTGTACTGAAACATCTCATGACACTGATAGTAGGAGTGGCCTGTGGATTCTGGGTGTGTTCTGGAAAAACTGCAGAATCATGGTCAAAGTTTTTCTGTCGCTCGAATGAGGCCAGCAAGAAAAATCATCAGAAAGGTCAGCCAACACTCTTGTAATATACCCAGCAACAATCTGCCATCACCAACTGCCACCATCATCAACCACCATCGACAACACTTAGAAGCAGATTCAGTCCATTTTATCTTATTCAGCATATGCATTCTCAGTAATCTCGAACACACGCACACACACATGTACACACACACACACGCACACACACATGTATGTATACACACACGCACACACACACGGCATACAGTTATTCACATTTTGTCTTTGATTATAATAATGGAGTGAGAAAATGAGATGGGAGAATGCAAACAATTGAAAACACATTGTTTCAAGCTGGCATGTTTCTCTCACTAAGACTCTTCATTATAAAAATCATCTCTTAGGTATTTCTATAGTTTTAAAATAAACTTTAATGAAATCAATTTTATTTTTTCATTATTTTCATTTTAGTCATGTTTAAATGTTTTGCTGTATGAACTAAACTATATGTGTCTAAGTATATATGGTTTTATTATATATATATATATATATATATATATATATATGTGTGTGTGTGTGTGTGTGTGTGTCTGTGTGTGTGTGTGTGTGTGTGTGTGTGTCTGTGTGTGTGCGCACATGTGTATGTATGTTTGAAGAAGACCATATTTTATACAGTATTGTATGAATTCTACCTAATTGTTGGCATTAATAAGTTTAAACTTTCCTCTGTACTCTTTCCTTATTCAGAGTTTTTATTTTTTGCAATGAAGTTTTGTTGTGGTTGCGATCGAATTTTTAACTAATTTTTGTAAATTTATTCATTTTGGTGATATTTAAAATAGCTTATTCATTAAGTATGGCACATTTTAAGTTTTATTCGTCTCAGAAACTGATATTTTTAATATTTGTCGTCGGAGATGTCACGAATTTTCATTTTAGTCATGTTTAAATGTTTTTACTGTATGAACTAAACTATATGTGTCTAAGTATATATGGTTTTATTATATATATATATATATATATATATATATATGTGTGTGTGTGTGTGTGTGTTTTGAAATGATTAATGCCAACAATTAAGTTGAATTCATACAATACTATATATATATATACACATATATATATATATACATATATATATATATATATATGTACGTAATGCTGTTATATAAACATGTTTGTTTACATATATATTGTTTATGTTACATATGTAATCGTAAAAAGTATGAACAATAGTTTGGAAAATTAGTGATAATTATATTACATTACATTTAACCTGTTAAGCTTCATAAAATATTGAAACATTTAATCACCTTGAATTACTTATTCTCTACTTAACGCTTTTCATGTAACTTACTTTTGTGTTTGTTTGTTTGTGTGTGTGTGTGTGTCTGTCTGTCTGTCTATACATATGTGTTGATACATTTACAATTAATATGTGGGTGTACTTTTATTATATACGCTCATTATTTTTGAGATTATATATATATATGTATGTATGTAAATATATATATCCGTTTGTATGTATGTATATATATGTATCTATTAATGTTTTAGCATGGGTAAAGAACGATTGTATGTAAGATGTCGGTTGTTCAGAATCATTAATGACACCACTATTGATATTTTCTTTTTCTGGTCGCATTCTGTAATGGCTTCGATATGAATTGTGTTTACCGCATTTGTAAGGAAAGGAATGAATGACGAGGAAAGGATGAATTAATGAATGGATGAATGAATCAGTGGATGGATGGATGGAGAAAGGATGAATAAAATGATTGGTGTAAGGTTTATTAGGCTCACATGCCATGCAATACTGAATTCGAATAAGCTTGCTACTACGCGCTATTATCTTTATCGTTCTCCAGTAAGTGTTTTTATTTTGTATCTTCTCTTCGTTCGTTTTTTAAATGTTTAAATTATTATTTTTTTAATTTCTGCTTTGCCGGAAAATTAGATACACATGCACAAGCACGCATACACACACACACATATATATATATATATATATATATGTATTTAAAAACTTTACTAGACATTTCTTGTTTAAATTGCTTAAAAATTTGTGTTTACTTTTCCTCGCTGGTAACAAATTATTTTTCTATTATGCTACCATTTGTTATATATATATATATATATATATGTGTGTGTGTGTACGTACTTAATTACAAATTTACAAGGATCAAATGGACTTTTTTTAATAGTGTAAACATCAGTAGCGTTGTACGTAGCAATGCGTGCTTTGAATGTTGTAAACGCTACTAAAATATCTAGAAAGGTTATTTGGTCATTCACTCATTCGTTTTACCGCTGATTCATAAATTACATGCATGCAATGCAGACTCTACAAGCTCTGCAAGATAACGAACTACAAACTGCTCTCTCTCTCTCTCTTTCTCCCTCTCCCCACGTGTGTGTGTTTGTGTGTGTTTGTGTGAGTATGTTTCTCTTTATCTCTCTTTTTCTATCTCTTCCATCCACTCTTGAATGAGTAGTGTAGCGCCGACCTAGTCATCGAAAACAACGCGCCCATACACTCGCACTTGCGGTTGCATTTACACATAAATGCAAGAAAAAACGTAGAAACTGGCATACGATCACACGCACACACTCTCACACAAACATATACACATACCCAGGTGAAATTCGAACACACACTCACACACACAATCAATCATAATTGCTATACATATTCAATGTGTAGTATAAGTACTCATTTCATACATAAAGATGCTTGCGTGCATCAATGTAAATAGCTAGCATGCCTATATTCTTCGAGTTATTTACACGGCCAAATTGTGAATTGTAGACGGATAATGTTATATATTACCTCAAAAATTGAGTGAACGATTTTTCTGTTTTTATTTTAACACTATGTTACGTATCATGTATGTATTTACGAACGTTTTTTGTCCTATATGCGCGTGTATGTATCATTGTCTATCCATTTATCTACAATAAGATACATGTTACACATTACATGAGTACTAACTCAGATTGACGAAGAATGTAATGAAATCGTTTAGCTAGAAGAAACGCTATCATGCAATTTTAGCATGCTATGTTGTATTGTATACTGTTATATATATATATATATATTTATATATATCTTGTATGTTTCGTTCGTCTCACAATTATCTTTTTCGTTTTCGTGACATTACCTCTAAACGTATTAACGTTGTTTTTATTTTTTTTCATATAAATATAAATTTTAAATAAAAACAATCATTGTAGAGTACGTATATATGTACTGTTGAGTGCATATTTTTAGATAAATATATATATATATATGTATATACACATTTTTTATGATGATGATAATATAGCTATGAAGCATGTCTAACTTATATATAAATCAATCAAACAATAATGAAAGTGACGATAAATTGTATGTATTTGTGTACTGTGTATGAATGTATGTGTGCATGTATGTATGTGTGCTTATATGTATGTGTGTATGCATGTATAATTCCCATTTTATTTTTGAACTGATGACACTTAATACAGTTTATACTTTTAACGCTGTTAGCTGTTAGCTTACGTGCTTTCTCCTGGCTCATCATTACAATTAATTATTAATTGCAATAATTATTATGAATAATATTTTTTTTTGACTTTCTGACTTTTTTTCTAAAAGTTTACACTCACACACTCGCACTCACACACACACACGCACGCACACACGATTACATAAATACATACTTCATATATAAAACAAACAGTTTTATATAATGTAAATCTCGAATTTTACTGAGATGACTCAACACAATGGCAGGCAGATAAATAGGTAAGTGCATCGTTAACTTTAACACAAAGATTAACAACAGTACAGACAGGCAGGCTTACACGTTATTTGTTAACGTGGGTTTAATTTAATGAGGGGGTACACAAAATTTTCAAAGACAATAAGTTAATTAAATCGAATTGAAAATTTAAAGTAAATTTGTAAACTATAGCCAATGTCTTTGCCAAACATCTGTCTTCAATTTTATCATATCAGAGAGAAGCATGAAACGAAAATATTCGCCTACGGTTGTTCGTAAGATAACATTTTGAGAATGTTCTGAATTGTGTAATAATTAAAATATTGACAATTCTTGCAAAAATGACTAAATCTGACGTATTATTTATTATCCAAAATAATAATTACAACAACAATAACAAATACAGTATTTTAAATAATAATATTAATAACAATTAGAAAAAATATATATAATTCTTTGTGACAAATCACTAACAAGCAGTTTTCGCCAAAACACAACACACACATACAAATATACACCGCACACGCACGCACATACATACATACATACACAAACATATACACACGCACATACACACATCCTATCCCAGCTAGGCACCTTCTGTCTGCCCGTGATGTTATACAAGTATGGTTATGATTCCCTATGTATCAGAGCAAACAATGCCAACATCGCTAACGTGAAGTACTGTTATTGGATTAAATGATAGTCTAGAATTAAATTTAGAATCGAATATTACTGTTAATTTTTAATTTATTCTAAGAAAATTTGTAGTTTATTCATTCACAAATAAGTCAATTTTGAAAACCAAATTATGAATAATAATATTATTAATGAAATTATTTATTATTAATATGTAAATATATCGTTAATAATAACGTAGACCAGAAATAAAGATTACAAGAACCTTAAATTTTGGGTAGTCGTTCATTATTATTGTAATCATTCCAATATATGGTAGGTATCTGAAAAAAGAAAAATACATTTCAATATTTTGGGTTTTTTTCCTATATAAAGTATAACAATTCATAATTATCCACAAATGTAACTGTAATGCAATAAGAACATTTTAAAAAGTGAACTTAATTTGGATTTCCACAATTTTGTGGGAGAATGCACTTGTAAAATTGCACTTATAAGGGTTAGCATATAAAAGCTTATAGGTTTCACTATTGTGATAATGCAAAAATATAGACCATGAGGTTATAAGATTTGATATATATAATAAAAATCAACAATCAACAAACAATCTCTCATCTATATATACAAATGGTGTCAAAACATCAAAAAATCACATGGCCTATTATGTAATATATACAAATCTCATTACAGAATAAAATAGTTTAAATATAGACACATGAAACAGAATAACTTTGGTCAAGTCTCAGAAATGGCTATTATATTTGTAATAAGGATTGAAATGGGTAAAATAGGAAGCCCAACCCTCTGGCCCTTCCTACAACATCTTTTCTTTCAAGCCAGAGTTGGCCAGGAGCATAAAGGCCCCTATCATCAACCTGGTTGTTGTCACCTTTCGTTAGAAACTTTATCGTACCATTTTCTCTGTAAATGCAATGTAGTTTGCTATATTTAATTGGTGAGAGATATTATCATGAAAAATAGAATTAAATCTTAATTTAAGTAGTTTAAATTAAACGAAAATTATTATTTAATAAATGAATAAATATTCAGAGGTATGACTATTAAAACTGCCGAATTACTTTTCGTGAACTCTCAGGGCTCGATGAACTATAGGAATTTCACGTCCTTCAATTTTGAAAACCACAATATCCCCAACCCTGATTGGATCATCTTTGTTTGTTAGGAATAAGATGTCCCCACGATAAAATGCTGGCTCCATACTACCACTGTAGATGAAATTAATTGTCAAATTAAATTTACAATTACAACAATTACATTACCTGCTACATAAGACATATTTAAATATTTATATAAAAATTCAAAAATAGAAAAAATTAAGATGATAATAAATTATGAGAACAAACAATGACAACCTTAAAACCACAACAATGGGACTTTCACTGCCCGTAAGAACCATGAGTCCCTTCCATATCATCAGGGCTGATGTAACTATCATTGCAAAGTTCATCACTTGGTAGTATAGCTAACAGGTTTCATTTAAATTATATTAAAAAACACATCATAAAACTGTTTACAAAGCAGTGTAAAAAATTTAGTTAGCCATACTCAGCTTGTGATTCTTAAATTGATAAATTGATCAAAACAAAAGACTTATGAAATGAAAACTAATTAATCTCTGAATTTCTTATTTTTTTATAAAAACTCATTTTATCTACAACACATTAATTAAAATTAATTTATTTTAAAAAACGTAATTAACTAACACTTTATTTAATTAAATTTAAACAACCTTTATTAGAGTTAGTTAGTTATTATGACAATTACTGAATTAAAAATTATACATACAGGCTTACTACATTAAATTAATTAATATTTTTTGTATCTGATGTCTTATCAAAACGAATCTTTACTCTATCTTTAAAATTATTAAATATCTAAAATTTCTAAAAATTCAAAAGAGAAAAAAACTAAAAAATAAAAAAAACATATGTAACAAATTTTTTAAAAAGAAAACAAACAGGAAACTACCTGTCTTGCATCCATGCGTCGGACATCGTCTAGAAATCCAAAACTATCCAAAAAGCTAGTTTTTGCAGTCATTTTGGCTAACTGAACGAAACAAACCTTTCTTATTCACTAACCAAATTTTTACTGCAAACCTAGCACGACGAGAACTATTTACAATTGGTTGTCGGAAGTCGTCATCCAAGCATTTTTAAAAATTACCATTTTCGTTGTCAAATACAATTGTTAATTTAACGTCAATTTAACAAAATTTAAATAAAAACTGATTAATTTTAAAAATTTAGTTTGTTTTTTATGTTATAAAAACTAATTGATTGATTGATTAATTTTGTAATAATTTTTTTTTCATTTCTTGATAAAACGTTCTTTCACAACCTTTATTTAATGTTAAGCTCAGTTTTAAACATATTTTACCATTTTTGGTTTGTCTGGGCCGGTGGGCGATCAAAGTTATTTTTTGATCTGTTTCACTAATTTCAAAGATGTCTTACTGCAAAAAAGAAGGTTTGTACGCAATTTTTTACACTTTCTATTTTTAACTTCATTTTATTTTTCAGTAATGATTGGCACACATGCACTCAGAATTTTGGGTTTTTTAAACAACCTTGGCTGCAACAGCTATGCTTGGCTGAGCTGCCAGTATCTGACAAACTTGATTTTCTTGATTAATATTAACTTTTTAATTAATTGACAATATAATGTAATATATATATATATATATATATATATATATATATATATATATATATATATATATATAAAATTCAGGCAAAGATAGAATTATATTCATCACCCCAGAAGATTATTCCAAACCTAGTACTATAAAAATCAAGGAATATGAAGGAGAACCAGGTGATGAGTAATTAAAATTTATCTCTTTTAATACCATTTTATTTTATTTTTAAATTTTAATTCAATAAACGGCTAAAAAATGCAAATGCTAATTATGTTGTTAATAATTGAGGTATAAAGTTCATTCTTTAATTAAAATATTTCAGGTTTGATTGGAGAAAATGGTGAAATAAATTGGAATTGTCCATGTTTGGGTGGTATGGCAACAGGTCCATGTGGATATGAATTCAGGAATGCATTTAGCTGTGTTAAAAACAGTACAGCAGACCCAAAAGGGGCAGATTGTTTCGAGCATTTTCAAAAAATGCAGGTTCAGGGCATACATTTTCTCATTGTTTTTATTGGTTCATTGTTCATTTATTTGTTATATTTAACATGCACAAAATTTGTTTTTATATTTTAAAGGATTGTTTTGTAAAGTATCCAAAGTTGTATGGTTCAGAAAATGAAGATTTAAGTGTTGATGACATTGATGATGAAAAAGGAAATAGCAAAGAAATCAGTCACACATTCAAAAAAGAGGAAAATATTTTAGAACAGAAAAAATAAAAACAATTTCTTTAAAGATTCATTCTTCTTCATTAAGATTTTTATATTTGTGATCATGTACTGAATTTGTTCTTATTGATTTTAGGATTTTGTTTATAGTATTTGTCTTATGAAATGTTAACCAATGTGTGTTTTTTTCAATGCGTTGATGCTAGCTCAAAATTGAATCTGTGCTTGTTTTAGATTAGCATTAATCATTGTAACACAAACCGCAAATTAACGCCGCAAGTTTAAAAATTATGCAATCAGTAAATAAGGCTTAACATCTAAATCTATGTGTTGTAAAATTTTTAATTTGTTTTCATTTTTTAATTAAAAAGAGTCTTGGTTTTTTTTCGTCGTTTTTGTGTTGTGCGTTCTGACCAATCGGAAACAAGCAAGCATTTGCTGCTGTTTATTTTAATGGAGATTTGCGAATTTGTGATAACATCGAGAAATTTAAGTTAAAATGTTTTGTTGAAATTTAAAGTTAATTCGTTGAAAATAATGTCCACCGCGTCTCACCGAACGTAATCTCAAAAATTTAAAACAAAACTCGTGAAATTTGTCACATATATGCGTGAAGACTCTGCTGCTCAGCTCAGCTCAGAGAAACGTAATTTTTCAATAAATTTCTTCATTTGTTACTTTTTAAAATGGATCTTTGAAAGCGCTTTGTGCGATTTTGAAATGTAATACATCGTTTTCTGTTTTTATCACAAAAGCATTTATTGGTTTGCCACAAAATGTCTCAAGGTGCAAAACTAAATTTAGTCTGTCAGTTTGTAAAAGCCATGCAATGTAAATGAATATTATACACCACTGCATTTCATGATTTAAGATTTCCATATTCGAAATGTTCTCTTTGCATAAATTCTAATAAGATCTCTCAAATGCATTTCGTGCAGATGTTTGAATTGCTTTCAATTCAAACTTGAGGCATCTCATCCTGCATTTGTATTTCATTTGTTAATGATTTGTTAAATTATCATTGAATATCTTATTATTGATGTTTATTTTTAATTGACAGACCATAGAAGATCATTATAATAAGAATTTTGTTTGATGGAAGATAACCAAACATTTGTTGCAACTGACAAGAATTGGATTCCATGGGAAGATGCAAAATGTGAAGATTCAACATACACAAATCCTCAGGATGTCCAGGCTGCTGACAACGAAAGTACTACTAATATCTTCTCAACTTCTGCTGCTGAGAAACACCAAGTTGAGTGCAATGACAAATTTGGAGACAGTTTGCATCAGTTGAATAAAATAGTTGAGAGGATATCACCTGACAGTTCTGCGGCAAATTATCAAAATTTTTCTACATCATTTGGGAACAAGATTCATAATTTAAACTCTAGATTACGTAGTTCTTATGGTTCGTCTTATACGGATAGCATAACTGACAGTGCATACGAAACATGTGTAGGAGATAACAGTTTTGACTGTCCAAATGATGAGCAGTACATGAGTCATTTACGAGATCAGATTGACATTTATGACTCGAGAAACATGAGGTCTTGGCCACCTCCACCTCAGCAGCAGCAGCAACCTCCCAATGAATGGAATCCTGACATGAGATCTATGCCCATGAAAGTTCAACCTCCCCTCTCTCTCTCATTATGTGCCAAAGACATTTACAACAGCAACACCAGCAACAATTTTCATATCAGCAATTCACTTTCCGTTAATGATGACAATGATTTTAGTGTGTGTAACATGGACAAATCTTACAAACTACAAAACATGGATAAAGATTATAGTATTTTAACTAGTCAGAACAAAATGTTGTATTCACCTGACAAACCACCTCTGAAGAAATCTAAACCTCTCAGTGAGCAACAACACCATTCAGTAGGAACACCATCACTTCAAAACCAGCACCACCACCAACAACAACAACACCACCACCACCACCACAGTGTAGAAGACAGCCACATATTATACGAATCGGACGCCAGCAAACAACTTGAATGGGCACATCACCACCAGAACTCCACGAGTTACTTGGAGTTGGATAAGTACAACGATCATCACATGGAATCGAACATGACCTCTTTCGATAAAAACATCATTGGAAAGAGTTACTCTCGATGCACTAACAGTGTAGATAATGATAATAACACGGGCAACAATATGAACAACACCATCCTCAGTGCTGAGTCTAAAGATGCAAATTTATCCGACTGCAACATGAATGCCGACAGTCGAAACAGTTCAGACGATGAAGATGGCAGATGTGATAACGATGGTTCGGGCAAGCAAATATTCACCTGCACTCATTGTAACTTCGGGGCTCGCAAGAAGGGGCAACTTAGGAAGCACATGTGAGATATTTGGATAACTAATTTTTTCTGTTTATCAAATGTTAAGTTTTGATTCAAAATTTTCTTGTTTGAATCTTCTTATTACTCATTTTAATAATTATATTGTGCATTTTATAAAATATTTCAACATGTATTATACAACCTTAGGTCAATGCATGGCATATTCCTGTGTGCCCATTGTGAATTCTCATCAGAGATAGCTGATGTATTGGAGGACCATCGCAAAGTCAGTCACCCGGGTCTCTGCGGTCGCAAGCTCTGCAAGAAATGTCGAGTGCTCTATCAGGGTGATGAGCTGGAGGAACATGAGAGGTTGTGCAGTGGAGAGAAGCAGAACTGGATTTGTCCAATATGTCAGAAGGAGTTCAAGTTTCTGAGTGTCATGAAAGCACACGCTCGTAAGTGGCATCCAAATGAGACGAATGCCCTCATGTCGAGCTCCAATGTAATGATGACACCAGGTCTTCAGATGGAATGCTCATGGAGGACGTCTGCTGCTGATTCAACCACTGGTGAGATGACGCCTGAGAATGAAAACTCAAACAGGGCAAGATCAAACAGCGATGAATACCTGTCGTCATCAGATAACCACAATTCTTACTACGGTGGCCACCCGAACAACAAGATGATGGACATGAAGCAGCATGCAGATAACAGCTACAACATGTATTGCAAGCCTGACAAGTTAAAAAAACCCTACATACAAATGGAAAGTAAAAAGTACATGAGTAACATGAATGTCGGTGGCAGAGGTGAGAATTGTGGTGATCCCTGCTCTAATGAAGATGGTCCCCCGTTGGAACTTGCATTCTACTGTGACCACGAAAACTGCTGCACAACTTTCAGGTCAGATAAAGAGTTGAATGTGCACAGGATGTCTATACATGGCATGCCACCTAAGAGGTACCACTGCAGACATCCTGACTGCAGTATGCAGTTTGCCAAGTTTGGCCACTACAAAAGGCATCAACTTTCGCACGCAGGTTCGTGCTCGTTTCTTTGTTAATTTTTCGCTTTTTTTAGAGCTTCTATTTTGTTTATCTGTTTTTCATTATCTAGGATGAATAAGTTTCATCCTATGTTATTAATTTTCAATCAGTTGTGTTTACATAATCAATTGTTAATCATATTGGCTGGGATTGTTATACATTTTCATTTTTTTAAATATTTCTGCATTAAAAGATTTAGTTGCAAAATGTATCATCTCTAGGTGGCGGTGAGAAAAAATTCCGATGTGACTGGCCGAACTGTGGCAAGGCCTTCTGCCACACAGACAACCTGAAGGTGCACTACAGACGACACACAGATGAGAAACCGTACAAATGCGACAAATGCGCCTCATCCTACCGCCAGAAAAGTGGCCTCAAGTATCACTTGGAGAAGGCACATGATGAAAAGTCCACGGGCAAGCCAGGTCGCAAACGGAAAAACCTCCTCCCCAATCTATCTGCAGAATCCCCTGACTACTCCATGCTGAGTAACAAATACGACGCCCAGGAAGGTGCTTACAAGAAGAGTATACCTGACGCGAGGAAGAGCCAACAGCAGCACAGCAACTCGCAGATGGGTTACGACAGCAGTGGATTCAGTTCACCCTGTCTCAGTACAGGAAATAAGGGTAATAAACATAGCAGTGGCAACAATAATAGGAATAATAATAATAACAATACTAATGTGAACAATGATGATGATCTGAATAATAATAATAATATGAGCTACCACAGTTACTACAACAATCACAGTCATGAAGAATTGAAGTCAATGCAAAAACACAAGCTAGTCGACGAATCAAACCATCACCAGTCCCACCACCAACATCAGCAACAACACCACCATCCACATCAGCAGCAGCAGCAACACATGCACAGCTGGAACACGAAAAGTTTCTCTCCACCAGGTGACATGATGATTAGCGCAAACAGCTTATACGGCAAGCCACCACCAGGTTTCATGGGCATGAGCATGGAACGGCCTCCACCAATGGACCACAGCCAGATGTACTCACTGAAAATGGACAGACTTCTCAACAGCAACCAGCAGCAAGAACAACAACCCAATTACTACACCGATGATAAAAGAAGCAGCAACAGCAGCAACAATAACAACAACAGCAGCAGCAACAGTATGTACTGCAACCAGACCAAACAATCTGACATGTCTATGAGATTCATCGAGGAGCACAACAACAGCATCGAGAGCAGTCACCACATGTTCAACATGTCTCCCAACATGCCAAAACAACTGCATCACAGCAGAAACGAAGACCACTGGACCAGCTATCAGCAACATCATCAACATGAAATGAAATCATTAAAGCACATGGATAAATTTATGGCCGGCTATCCCAGGAGTGATAAGAATACTTTGCTGAGTAACTATGGAGATGATGAGGACGATGACGATGATGATAACGATAATAGTAATGATGAAGAGCAATATGATAATTGCAACAATAATAATAGTAGTCGTAATGACATCAACAACGGTAATATCAATAGAATCAACAACTCCAACGATGACGAAAATGACGATAATATTGATAATAATGTTAACAATAACAACAGCAAAGGATCTGTTGAACTTCCTAGCATGAATATTTCCAACATTTCCAACAATCACGACGCCGAAAGAGATGATGAAAGTGAGAACTTGGGAAGTAGAGAGAGGATCGGTGGACTACCACTACCTAATTCATTTATGGATGATAAGGTCAGAATGAATTCAGGAGTCCTGGAAAGAGATGGTGATGAATCAGAGAGGGGGGGAACATTTGCGTCGGAGAATGAGCAACAGTCGAAATTTCCTATGCTGCGAAACGTCGAAGAGGAGGAAGATGGGGAGAATGCCAATGTGAGAAACTTAAATTCCACGAAAGCCAACGCCGATGAAAATAATGAAGACGCAGAAGATGGCGATGGAAATGGCGTTGGAAATGATAGCAAAGGCAGCAATGGCAGCAGTGCCAGTGCAAGGAACTCAACGCCCATCATTGCCTCGCTGGAGAGAGTTAAGAAAGAATCATTCAACGATGACAACGACTACAGCGGTGAAAGAGATGACAGAAGCAACGAGGAGGACAATGATCGAAATGATAATGGAGACGGCGACGATGACGACCGTGCAGCAAACAAAGATAGCAGCAGTGACAATCGAAATCAGGGTAATGATGATGAAGAGGAAGAAGATGCAAATAAGACATGGGCCAATAATGAAACTTCTCCTAATGCGGAATCACAACCACTCTCGTCCACTTCGATGGCAAAGGGCTGGCCCAGAATACTGGATGCCTCTCTCACTGAATCAAACAACTCGTTCAATCCTCTCGATCCAACAAAAAATATATTTGGTTCTAGTGTTGAGTCTGCTACTCCAGAAACCGGAGGGTTGTTCAAGCCTCTTGATTCCAGTCGGATCCGAAATGTTGATCCCATACCGGGTTTTGGGATGTTTGGCATGACTCAGTCGTATCAGCCTGCAAATGATTACCCAATCCCAGCACCGTCTCTTACCTCAAGACCTCCAATAATTAATGACAACTACTACCTTGGTTCACAACCTTCTAACTTGCCATATGGAAACATGTACAACTTTCCAAGACGCCACCCAGCCAACCAACTAGAATCTCCTTTTAATAGTTTCCAAAGTCCAGATCGATACAGCCGACCAACGGAATCAGAGTACAGAGACCAAACCCTGAGATTAGGCAGCACGTACGGGTTTTTGCATTCTTCCCCGTACCCGTACGACCATCGTCCTTACGGTAATACGCAAGAAGCGTCATCATCTTTCATGCCATCGGGTTATGATTTTTCATACGCCCCTTCTGCTCTTCCACCTTTTCCTCCTCCTCCAACGTTCTCCCTAACGAGGCCCTGGGCAGGTCCTTCCAATGAACTTGACCTCTTCCCAGGGGTCGATTCATCAAAGACGCAGAGGTCATCCTATCAGTCGTCACCTTACGGCGGGGCACAGTCAAGTTCTACTAACAGATATTTCTAGTTAGTGGATAGATGGAAAGAAGAATGGTTTATATCTTTTTTTCATTTGAAGATGAGAATTTGAAGTGGTTGAAATTGTTTTTGGTTGTGATGTTGTTTCAAGTTGAATCTAAGGATTTTGTTTTGTTTCTTTTTTTATTTTATTTTGTTTTCTGTTTTGTTGAGTTTTTTTTTTGTTTTATTTATTTCAGAATATTTTTGTTTAAAAGTCTTTCAAATGTGTTTTTGGTGAACGTGAAACACACTTAACTGGATTGCAAACATTAAGTAGTCTTCGAATGGATCGTAAATAAGGAAGTGCTGCTTATGATGTTTGTGTGTGTGTGTACGTAACCAGCGTCTATCTTATTTCTCCTCCTTTTGTATCTTATCTTGTACGTATCTTAAACTGTGCATTTATTAGTACTGTTTATATAATTATACATATAAATATACACACACATATATATATAATATATATAGTCTAACATATGTATTTATCAAAATATGTATTGTATATTATTTAAATACCAAAAATGTAACTAAAAGATGAATGAATATTCGTACAGGATAATGTGCAATGCTTTTTTTATTGTTGTCTGTGAATAATGTGCTTATGGTCCTGTGTTAGCTGTGCGCAAGCCTCATCATACTGTATAGCGAATTTGCAATGTACGGTACATACATACATACGTACATGTTGGTGTATGTATGTATGTGTATATATATATATATATATATTTATTTAATCTTGTTATAGCGAATTATTCTTCATTTTTGGCATTATTATCTTCTTTCTTAATACCCTATTATATCCTCTGTTTAGTTTAAATTCACCTCCACTGACACACACACACACACACACACACATACATATACACACATACATATATATATGTGTGTGTCTGTATGTGTATGTATACTATTGCTAATTTGTTTTGTTTCGTTCAGTTGTACGTGTCTGTGTCTGTGTGTATGTGTATGATTGTTTTTTTTGTTTTGTTTCTTTTACTGTTTATTTAGTTTACATTAGCTATTTTTTACTTCACACCTAATTTTTAGATCTTGTTTTGTGTTTTTCACCAGTTACTATATATACACATACACATACAATATTTTTGTTGGCGATTTCTTTGTTTGTTTGTTTATTTGTTGGTTCGTTCGTTCATTCATTCGTTGGTTCAATCATTCATTCATCATTTATATTTATACAGTCATTATTTTTCATAGTTTTGGTTTTTCGACTAGACTGACACAAAAAAACTGTATTTCTATAATTAGCAGAACGTAATGTATATGTAGACATTGTTTGTATATTATACATATATACATACATGTGTTTATATATACACACATACATACATGTATATATATATATATATATACAAATTTGTATAGCTTATAACTTTGTTATGAACATAGAGGGTAATATAGGACGATGCCTCCATTATAAACCTGCTTACACACACGCACGCGCACACACACACGCACGCATACACGTAAACATAGACGTACTATTACATAAATATACATGCAAACGTGAAACGTGCAAGGCCTATACGTACTCGTACATATACGCATACAAATACGTACAGGAACGTACATACAGAAGAACATACATATCACGTACAAAAGTCATCCATAGATACAGATATAAAAATTAACCAAGCCGATTAAACGCACAAACCTAAGTACAATACATAAGTACAACGTTGTTCTTATATATTGCTATCGCCATTCAGTAATGTTCCCTCAATACAAGCTCATCGGTGATGACAATGTTACGAGTTACTGATAGAACAATGAATGCTGAGAAAAATTGTGACCCGTGCTTTGCTTGAGCACAAACACGCACACAGACTCACTCACATGCACACACACACAAATACATACATACATGGGAGCACACAGACGTGCACGTGTAAGTACACACATACACATTCATACGTTTGCTCTATATTGTTTGATATACAAAAATGCATGGAACGTTTAATCAATATACACAACAACAGAATACATTCTACACGATGCAATACAGTAAGTATATACAAAACATTGCGTACAATATAATATACATAATACCAGGAATACAAAACATCAACTCACGCATACAAACGTACATACAATACATACACCCTGCATCGGAATACGGGTAATACAGTAGAGTTTACAACTTTATAATACGAACATACAATTGTACATAGAACCACACACACAGCACATATATAAATATATATGTTTGTTTATATTATATACACATTTATTATGTAATATATGAATTTGTATATGTGTACGTGCGTATGTGAACTGTGCAATGTATTTGTGGTAATAGTACTAAAACGAATATATAATGTTTATCATTTGTTTTCTGTTGTGCTATTATTGTATTCGACGTGTATATTTATACTAATATTA